GTCCCGCTGCCTGCTGCGGGCTATCTACTCTCGACTTCGAATTCGACTGTCTCGACTGTCTGGCAAGCTCCCTCTCACTCCTGCATCCCAGCCCTAATGCGCAGCAAGACGAGCGGGTAGCTGTCTCTGTCGCACCCGGGGCCCTCGGGGTAGGAGGCGCTAGCCTCTGGGTAATCGAGTGCGAGTCATCGATCCCGTGGTGCACAGCTGGCCTCCTTCCCTCCGCGTCTGCCGAGCCATCCTGGACACTGGAGCCGGGGGAGGACTCATCAAGGTCTCAGAACTGGTGGTCTGACTCGCCCGATCTCTCTCCACTCCCCTTTCGAGCTGTCCGAGCAAAATTGATGGCGACTCTGAGCCTCTTCGGGCGTCCTGACCATCGAGCTTCAGCAAAACAGATGGTGACTTCGAGGCCTCGCGGGCGTCCTGACCATCGAGCTTCAACAAAACAGATGGTGACTCCGAGCCCTCACGGGCGCTCTGGCTTCCGAGGCCGAGGCGCCTCGGGTTGGGGGCTGGGCTCGAGGAGCACCCTGACCCCGCGAATCCTGCCTCTCTGACCATCGGGCTCACGCTTCTGTTCCGTCCAGGAACATCTGCATCAGGCGCCCCTGGTGTGAGAGCGGCGGTGTCCCCTTCATGAGCTTGGCCCCGAGCTGCTTGAAGGGGTCTAGCAACTGCAGCTGCACGCCAGTCTTGTGAGCCTCGACGTGGATCTTCATCAGCTTGCGATCGCGTGTGAACGAGATCCTGCAGTGGCGGACTTGCATGCAGAGCGTCTCGTTGGCGATGGTCGGGCCGCCCTTGATCTGGTCCATGTACTGCTTCACCGCGGCGTGGTGGACGGCTCCGATGCGCTCTCCTTGCTGGACGACTCCGCCTACCAACGCGAACCACCTATGTGGATGCGGGAGAGAACGCGTTTCACGGGCGCTTGCCTTGGGAATAGTCGGCGGCCCGTTTCGAACTGGGGGATGGGCCCCCCCCAAAACACTCGGCGTGGTGCGCTGCATCTCAAGAGCCATAGCACCCGAGTGCTCGTGAGCGGCTAGGCCGACGGGCGCGGGAGTGGCTTGCTCACAGAGCCAGTGCGTTTGCTGACGTGCGCCCCTTTGGCGCGAGTGAGGGGCCCAGCTCCAGACAGATCCAGAAGTCAGGTAAACAGGTGCGCGCTCCGGTTGTAGAGTAGCCACATAAGTCGTGACGACACGTTGGATCCGAGTCAGAGTCAGTCAGTCAGTCAGTCAGTCAGTCAGTCAGTCAGTCAGTCAGTCAGTCAGTCAGTCAGTCAGTCAGTCCTCCTCCTCCTCCTCCTCCCTCCTCCTCCTCCTCCTCCTCCTCTCCTCCTCCTCCTCCTTCCTCCCTCCTCCCTTCACCTCCTCCTCCTCCCCCTCCACCTCCTCCTCCTCCTCCTCATCCTCCTCCTCCTCCTCCTCCTCCTCCTCGTCCTCGTCCTCGTCCTCCTCTCCCCTCCTCCTCCTCCTCCTCCTCCTCCTCCTCCTCCTCCTCCTCCTCCTCCTCTTCCTCCTCCTCCTCCACCTCCTCCTCCTTCTCCTCCTCTTCCACATCCGGGGAGCCACCTGCCTGGAAACAGCAATATGTGGGTCCAGAGGGCGGTGGCCGCAGACATGCGCAGGCAGCCCGCGCAAGCGAGAGAGCGGCCCCGCCTTCATTGCTGCGACAAACCCGATTCGGACTATGTGCTCCAAGTGGGCTGGCGGCGCGCACAGCGGGCAGGGCGACGGGGCCGGCATTCCAGGAAGGCGCCCCGCCTCTCCGAAGCCATCCGGCCCTCCGAAAACCTGTCTGCGAAGGCCCGGCATCGGGCTGACCCTGCCAAGAATCCCCCTGCCTTCTTGGAAGGCCACCCCCCACTCCTGGCCCCCTGGTGCGCGCCGCCGCGCGGGTCTGTGGGCTGCGAGCCGCGGCGGAAGGTGGTTCCCGCGCGACGCGGGTCCCTTCGAGCCGGCGCTGGGAGGGGGGCGGCGGTGTCGGCAGGAAGAAAGGACGCGGCGGGCGACACGGCACTGCCGCCAAAAAGGCACAATCAGCTTGCTGCGCGCCGAACTTGCGCTCACGCCGCAACGGTGAACGTGTGCACGGCACGCTCGCTGACCAAAAATGCATCATCGAAAACAGCCCGCAATCGATTCACGAGGGCAATCGCAAGACTCCTGTGGGCTTCGCAAGCGTTTCGCGCCCACCGAACCTCGAACCCCACACCATCCGTGCCGGTCAGGTTTTCAGGCCCGCAAGCTCCCAGAGGTCTCAAAGCCAGCGAGGAACGCAGCAGGCTGCAGTCAGAGACGTGTTCGGCCACGATCGCGTCCCGCGGAGAAGAGGCACCGCCTGGCTCACAAGCGGGGAGGGTGGCAACGTCGCGTCGACAGAATCAGCCTGGCGAGTGACCCAACCCTCAACAGCGTCAAGCCTGGCGGTGAACCTCTTCTGTGCGCGATCCGTATGAGGGATCTGCCGACATGCGAGGCATGCAAACTTTCCCGGTGGGCTGGAGCGCCGCATGGGGCACGATTGATGGGACGGTTGTGCCGAAATTGGGGGGGGAACGATTGCGAACCTTCTCTCTTGGGCCGTAGGTCGAGCTCCCTGGACACCAGTTGAAATGAGACCCAGCTGAACTCGAATTGGGGATGCCCCACGGGGGTCGGGTGGGTGTGGGGTGGTGTGATAGACGACGACGACGACAACGACGACGACGACGACGACGACTACGACGACGACGACGGCGGCGGCGACGGCGGCGGCGGAGGCGGCGGCGGCGGCGACGGCGACGGCGACGGCGACGGTGACGGCGAGGGCAACGGCGACGGCAACGGCGACGACTGCTGCGGCACGTCAGTCATCATCCCGAGAGGGTGGAAAAACTTTGCCTCGGATTATACGATACTACAACTTCTATACGAAAAGCAATCGTGTAAAGGCTTCCGTGCAGGGGGGTGCACGACCCCGCCGCGGTGCCCGCGAGGACCCCCTGGCGCGCGTGATGAAAAGTATTTTCACGCCCCGCGGGGTCTGCTCGTGAGCCCTGGGAAGGGGAGATCTCATTCGTGACTCACAAACTGACACTGCCGAAGCGGGGGTGGCAGCATCCAAATCCGGCGCAGGACAGAACAGGCCAGCCAGAAAGCAAGGGAATGGAGGGCCAAGGAAAAAACGCGGAGACAGAGCGATAGCCAGAACAAGGGAGAAGGGAGGGGACCAAACAAGACAGAAAAGCGAACCGACCGACGGACGAGGGAGGGAAAACGAGAAGGCAGAGGGGAGACACCAAACGCAATGCAGCCACCCACACATACACATACAGTTCATGCACACATATATATATATATACACATATACAAACATATATATATATATATATATATATGACTGGGCAGGGCGGCATGATTGCGCCAGCAGCTAGATGAGTTGTTTCATGGTCATCGCACCTTGGCCTGACAAATCAGAAGGGGGGGTGAGGCAGCTCGACGTCGCTGGGCGCTCACCCTCGGTCATAGAAAGCCCCGTCGGCACAAGCACGAGAGAGGGGGGCAGCACTGCAGACGTTCGGCACTCAAACACGCCACTGATACTGAGACGTCTCTGGCGAGCAATAGTGGGGGGCGGCAATCTGCGACAGCAGCTAGATGAACTGTTTATGGCTATCGCACTCTGACCTGACGAGTCAAAACGGGGTTGCGAGGCAGCCCGACGTCGATCGGCGCTCGCCTTCGGTCATAGGAAAGCCCATCAGCACAAGCGCGAGGGAGGGGGCAGCGCGGCAGACGTTCGGCGCTCAAACACACCACTGACACTGAGACGTCCCCACCCAACCCTGACCTGGCTCTAGCCGAACTTGCAATGCGTAAGCTTCATGAACGTTTGGGCCACGTGCTCAAGCAAATCCGACTGAGATCGGGAAAGATGTAACTCTGCGAGCACAGCGGCCCCACCTTCGATGCACACATATTTTAGCAGTCCCGGCTGAGCCCCACCGCCCACGCAACGCGACGCGAGACAGGTCAGCTGACATCATGCACTCGTGCGCGGCGCCTCCGCGCCTGAGGCTATAGGGCGCGAGGTGAAGGCCGCGCGGAACGCTGGGGGACTATGGCCACAGCCTGCCGCCCTCATCAGGGGGCAACCGTCAGCGCATCCAGGCGCCAACGTGCGGGTCATCGACTGCCGCATTTTCGCGGGCCCCTTTTTGCGCGGCGGTCGCGGTCCAAGCAAGGGAGACCACCCCGCGGCCATCGCCGCCGACGTGCGCAAGAGCCCGCGCCAAGCCGAGAATCTCGCCAGTGCGCAGGCACAAGTGGCGATCCTGCCGCGCGCCAGACTCCAGCCTGCCAAGGCAGCCGCTACGCGGCCAGGCATGGGCGGCGCGCGCGCAGGCACCTCGAGGCGGCTCCAAACTGAGAGCAGTCTCCACGAACCGGGCACCTGCCGCCAAGAGCAGAGCAGGTGCTGAACGCCACTGAGCGCATCGTTCGCTTCGTGGCGCCCGTGCGCAACAGGTATTCCAGATAGTCTTGGAGGCGCAGGCCCACGGCCTCCCTGCTGACAGGCAAGGCAAAATGCATGGGACTGAGAAAATAAACGAACTGCTGGCAAGCGCGTCCGCACCTGGCGCACGCCCTCGAATTAACGCGCGCATCAGCCAGCCGTCGCAGCACAGCTCGGGCAGCGCGCCTAGTGGCTGGCGTGGACCGCCCAGCCATCTTTCAGGCGCGAGGGCGCATCTGCAGGGTTCTTGGCTGAAGACGCGAAGCCAAAGACACCCCGAGCGCCTGTCCCCAACTCGAGCTCCGAGAAAGCGCGCACTACCTTGCAGAGCTGATTGCTGCTGGGCCTGTGCTTGCTCAAAGAACCGACGTCGGCCGTTTCATCAAGGAGGTGGAGGAAAACTCGACGCTGCCTGCAAGCGGCTCGTGCTCGCCAGCGCAGCGCCATCAGAGCTGCCTCGCACTCGAACACGTGATGCGGGGCTGAGAGTCCTGCTACACCGATTGTCTCGCAGTCCTCCACGACCAGATGCCAGTGTCCACTTCTTGCCTGGGAAATATATTGCCGAGAACCTCTGACTTCGTGTCGACGCGAAGATCAGCTCCATTGTGATGGCAGGCGGCCGCGAGCCCGGCGACCACGCGCTGCTCCTCGGAGAATGGGCACCATCCCCCAGTCCCCTGCTCGGCCAGCGCGGCCAGCAGCATGTCGGCGCGGCGCGGCTCCGTCGGCCCGCAGCGGCATAGCAGTCGTTCGCCGCGCAGATCCTCCAGCGCGTCGATCAGCGCGGGCAGCCTGCCCAGCCATCCAGCGCACAGGGCGACCGCGTCTGCGGCGGCCCGACCTGGCTCCACGGGGCATGGGCACCCCAAATCGGTCGGGCCCAGCCGCCAGCGGCGCGGCCCATGGCCGACGTAGACCACCTTCTCCTCGCCATCCTGCGAGGCGCTCTCCAGCGCGAGCGGGCAGTCCCTGCTGCCCTGCAGGCCCTCGCCATCGGCCGTCCGAGCTGCGCGCGGCCGCTCTGCCGTCTCGGCAGCCACCGCCTCGCGGCCGCCGCGCAGCATGGCAAGGTCGCCGGCCCAGAGCCGCTCGCCGCCAGCCCAGCTCCGCGAGCTCTCGCGCAGCGCGGCGAGCGACGGCACCGCCACCAACAGCTCTGCCTGCACCGCCCAGGTGGGCCAGCAGCCAGGCCACGACCTCGCAGTGGAACGAGTTCCCGAGGAGCGACCGCCGCATCACCTCGAACTTCTCGGGCGCGCTCTCGGCCTTGGTGTTTTACTTGAGCCAAATGGCTTGAAATGGCTAATTACGGAGTAGGAAGAGGAGGAGGGGGAGGAGAAGGAGAGGACGGAAGAGCAGGCGAGGAACAGGACGATGAGGAGCAGCAGCAGCAGCAGTAGCAAGAGGAGGAGGGGAGGAGAAGAGGCAGAGGCGGGAGCAGTAGGGGCAGCAGCAGGAACAAGGGGATGAGGAAGAGGAAGAGAAGCAGCATCGGCAGTGACAGTGGCAGTGGCAGTGGCAGTGGCAATGGCTGGCAGTGGCAGTGACGGTAGCAGCAGCAAGAACGGAAGGAAGCCAGTGTGCTTCCCTTCTAGATCTACCTATCTCTCTCTCTCTCACTCTCTCTCACTCTCTCTCTCTCTCTCCCTCTCTCTCTCTCTTTCTCTTTTTTCTCTCTCTCTCTCTCTCTCTCTCTCTCTCTCTCTCTCTCAATATATATATATATATATATATATATATACATATATATTTGCCTCTGACCCACCGTTCACCTCTACATCTGTCATGTCTTCAGCCAAGTCCCTCCTGGATCCGAACACACGGCAGCACATCCGGCAGCCGCGGCGAGAAGAGATCACCTCCTCGCCCCTCTCCGGTTTGGACGCCCGACATGGGTACGGAAAAAACGGGCACGATGCCCAACAACACACATTGTCCAAAACCGACATCGGCCGCAGTTGGGCAGGCGGCATTCTGTCTCAAATGGACACTGCCACCGGCGACACCGACAACGAATCCTCTCCAAAATGGACATGAACCGTTGCTGGCCTTTGCGTCCATTCTTTCCTATACTCATGCCTCTGACCTACCAGAGTGCGAAAAAGAAACCCCCTCCAGACCTCCAGACCGATCCTGACCGCCTGAAACCTCGAGTGGAATTCAGATGTCGAGATCCTGGTGCTGCCGAGAGGCGACCCGCACCGATCATGGAGGCGATGCTCGTTTTGGAGAAGGCCAGGGGCCGCCGAGGCGGCGACGCGCAGGGCCCCCGGGCGCCCCAGGCGGGCGCCCCGCGCGGGCAGCGCGGCAGCCGACCGCCCGGGCCGGGAGCGCGCAGGGCCCTGGGGACAACACCGCGCCTAGGGCGCCACCGCCGCTGGCGGCGCCTCGCTCCTCTGCCTCTTCGGCGCCACGGCCCCGGCCCCTTCCAGGGCGGCATCGGCGAGGGCATCCAGCTCCCCCTCGCCCCCACTGGGGAGACAGGCCGGCTCGGTCCGCAGCGCCACGAAGGCTTGCTGCCCGTCCTTCGTGCCCTCGCTCGCCTGGAGCGCCTCGGCACACTTTCGCCAGGCAGCTCGCCCGTCCCTCTTCGCCTCCTCCGTCGCCCTGTCCTCGGACGGGGCAGATTGCCTGGCCCTGCGGGAGGCTCTGGACTTGGCAGCGCTGGCGCCGTGCACCTGCCCTGGATTCGGGCAGGCTGTGGGATGGGACTTGGCCGCACCTTTCTGCTGCCTTCTGTGCCCAGGCGGCCGCCCTCGCAGACGCGGGGCCCCTGGTCCGCCGAGAGGAGCGCCTGGCGCCGGCTGGGCATCGGCGCGAGGGGCGTCTCCGGCGCTGGGAGGAGCCCGGCCTTGGCGCGCCCGCCGCCTGGCCTGCTGGGCGGGCGCGGCACGGCGGCCTCTGCGCTCGGGCTGGCCAGCGGGCGGTACCACCCCGACCTCCGCCTGTGGTGGCGGCTGCGCCGGCGCCCCGCCTTCTGCGACCGAGTGGACGCGCGCCCCTGGCCCCGAGACGGCCCCCGCCTCGTGCCGCGCCGAGCGGCGAGGGTGGAGCGGAACGGCCTGTCCTTCGGCGGGGACTTCCGGCGAGGCCATGTCGTGTTCCCGCGCGCGACGCAGGTCCTCCGCCTGGCGGACCTGTTGCCGCTGCAGCTCCGCCAGGCGCTCCTCGGACTGCAGCCGCAAGAGCTGCTCTTGGGCGAGCTGCTGCTTCAGCCTCTCGTAGTCCTCGGCCTTGTCGTCAGACTCGAAGAGGCCCCTCTGGAACTCCTCCTGCTGCCTGCGAAACTCCTGGAGCTGTTCGCCCTCCATGGAGACTCCGTGCTCGCGGCCCCGGTCGACGCTGCCTGCAGCGCTGGGCCCCGTCGCGCCGCGGCGGGCGCCCACGCCAGGTTCTTGAGGAGCGGCCTCCTCGTCAACCTCGGCCTGCTCGGCCACATGCCGCGCCAGCGCCTCCCACAGGGCGCCTACCCACACGGCCTCCTGACTGGGCGGCCAAGCCCAACGACATGTTTCTGTTCAGCACGTTAGTTTCCACAGCTCTCGACCACATCGCTCGCATGGACTTCGAACCGCGCGCTGTTTTCGCTGGGGTCAGGAAGCGGGCTTCGGGAAGACCCACATGGCTGGATGCCTGGGGCCTGGGGAGGGAGGAACAGCATGAGCAGGTCTCGGGAAGCCTCTGAAGGTCCCAGAAGTCCCCAAAAGTCTCCATCCGTGGAGGTCCCTGGACGTCCCTGGAGGTCCCCAAACGCTGCGAGAGGCCCACAGCGGACATGTTATCCTGCGCGGACCCCAGACAGCAGGCTCTTGCCTTCTCGATGTGACATCCATATGTGTGGCTTAACACGTGCACGGCGCCATAAACTACGTGGTCGAACATACGCATTGCTAAACTTTGCTAAATATGCGGCGCAATCTACGCGGCGTTCAACCGATCCCTATTCCCACTGGCGTGGCCTGGGCTCGGGATGCGGATGGGGATGGGGATGCGGGTCGGTTAAACGATACTGACCCTTGGCTCGCCGACGAATCTCGACGCATTACGACGGTTTGCGCTGCCCCGATCCTCCTCCGTCAGCTGCACGCCGCTCCTGCGCGCCCGACACAACCACTCCGCGGCGCCGCCTCCGCCAACGGGCGCGGCGGCCTGCGAATTTGGCGGGCCGGGCGCTGCACGGAAGGGGAAGTCTGGAACAGATCGGATCTGCGCAAATGTCGGGCGCACGCGAAGTGCGACCAAACACCAGCGGGAAGAGACAGGACAGAGAGGGAAAGGGGGAAGGGAGAAGGGGGAACGAAGGGGAGGAGGGGGAAGGGAGAAGGGGGATGATGATGATGATGATGATGATGAGGAGGAAGAGGAGGAGGAGGAGAAGGAGGAGGAGGAGGAGGAGAGGGAGGAGGAGGAGGAGGAGGAGGAGGAGGAGAGGGAGGAGGAGGAGGAGGAGGAGGAGGAGGAGGGGGAGGAGGAGAAGCGCCCGTGCCTTCATGCGGTTCGTCTGGCTCGGCCGGCGGGCGGGGCCAGGCTCAGAAGTGGTGGTTAAGCCTGTCCAGGGCGGTCCTGTGGCAGGTCTTGCGCATGGAATATGGAGAGGTTGTCGTAGAGGTTGTGGAAAGTTTGACCTCCAAGTAAAGGTAGTACAGTAGGACGAAATTGCGCACCGTGGTCTGGCGCGAGAACTCGCGGGCGGCCTCCTCCGGATAGTCTGCGCGGGCGCCGAGCCCGAGGCGATGTAGAACCTCCCTGTGCGCAAATTTGGGCGGATCTGTGACCCAATGAAGGGCGCGACGACATTGAAGGTAGTGGATGATCTAGTCGAGGCCGTCGTCGCAGCCGAAGAGGCAAAGGTGGCGTGTGGGCAAGACATGCATGCGGCAGCTTGTGTGCCACCCGCCCGCTACGAGTCCGTAGCACAACCCATCGCCAGGCTGGCGGCTGCGAGGCAAGGAACTCCCGGAGACCGCGCCATCGATCTCGAAGATCGTTCGGGACGCATTCCGTGCCGATCCACGCCGCAAGTCGCTTCCGCAAGGTGTATTCGAAGGTGTCGGGGTACCACTCTGCTGGGAATGACAAACAAAATCCCGTTGAGGGTGGAGACGCGCGCCAGCTTTCCCGGACAACTTCGCCACACGCCGTGCCTTCGCGGCGGCCGCCTTGTACATGGGTAGTGTGCTGCCCTTGCTGCCAAGCGGCCTGTCCTGTGAGGCAGCTTGGAGTCGCTATGCGATTGCCATGCCCATGTCCCAGAAGGCGGGACACCACTGTCCCACGACGAATCGAGGAAGACCAACACCAACCTGAGGAACAGCCACCGCCTCCAGCCGCTGAAGCGCCGATCTGCATGAGGGGACCGCTGTGCGCCACACTGCTCCCGCCGCCAGGGCGCGCAACGACCGTACTCCTGATGTTGGGAACCACGCGTCGAAGGCGAGGATGTCCGAGAGCCTTAACGTGGACGGCGGCAGCCGTAATACCCTTTGGAGCGCATGGAACTCCTTGCGGACAAGGGCCTTCGGCGGGGAGAAAAACTGCGCAAGGTATGAGAGGACGGGCAAACACCATGCACCACAAAGCCGCACGTTGGAATCCACGGGCGCGCCCGACTGTCCAGTAAGGATAATGCGGCGCCACCGTTTGTCAGCCGCATCCCGCCATTGGTCCTCCTCTGCGGCGCCGGGGCCCACAACCGTGCCCAGGTATTTGCCCTTGTCCTCGATTCGGAAGCCCTTCCACTGGGGAACGAGGAACTCCACGACCTGGCGGACTCGGCGGACCAGCCCCTCCGAGAGCGGCGCCCAAAGAGGAATGATGACGCACTTCTTTGGTTGAAGATGTAAGTTGCCAATCTCGCCAGCAGAGCCAAATATGCTCACATGACGTGGAAGTTGTCGGACATTTCGGTTGACCGCCCCGACGTCGCTGGCGCAAGCAGCAGCCAGACCGCCGGGGTGAAGATCACGGAGGTGAGGGTCCGAGTCCGAGGCCGACGATCTCGAAAACGGACGTGCCGGCCCGTCCGCTATCGCCTGGCCGCTCGGCGGCCCTCCTGGTGCCGCGGACGAGGTCGCAGCGGTGGGGCTGGTTGGCAAGGTCGGCATAGCCGTAGGAGTTGGTCTCGAGAACGGGCATACCAGCCTATCCCTGATCAGCGGGTCGCTCGGTGGCCCGCCTGGTGCCACGGACGAGGGAGCAGCTGTGGGGCGAGTTGGCAAGGTCGGCATGGCCGCAGCGGTAGGCAGCACCGCGGCGCGAGCACGAGAGACCGGATCCATGGCTACCGCTCAAACGCTGCCCGAAAGCGGGCAACCTTGAGCAACACCGCTGGCCAAGACGCACAGAAAGTGACGAACTCCACCAAGCAGTGCATAGCCTCCCGCGTCTGCGTACAGAGCGTGGACCGCATTGAGGAAGCCATGCGGGAATCCGAAACGCCTCAACGCTCCAAATAACCATTGGCGCCCCAAGGAGGGGAAAGCCGCAGCTACGTCAAACAGCAGGAGCATGGGCATGAAGTCATATCCTTCGGGAAGCAGGCCGGCCAATCGCGACTCGCAGTCGATCTCCACGATGTTGCGACAGAAATTCCGACCTCTGACGAAGCCTTGCTGGACTGAGTGGGCGTGCTCCGCGACGTGGGCCGCCATCTGCGTGCTCATGGCCGAGGTGATGAGCTTGGCGTCGGGTGTTCTTCCTGGTGATGGGTCGCAGGGCCCCAGGGTCGCGGATGCAGTTGACGAGGTCGCCTTCCTGCGACACCTTGGGGATGAAGGAGAATAGGGAGTGGTTGAACCCATGAGGGGCTGCGCCGAACTCGAACATGTCCATGGCGACGTCCTCCAGCAAGCCGAAGGCCCCGGAAACGTGGGACCACGCTTTATAAGGTAGCTGGTCGGGACCAGGGGCCGAGTTCCGCGCCAAAGCTGCAGCTCGGCGAAGACTACTTTCCGTGGGCAGTCCCAGAGGCTCTGCTGGAATGGAGGAAGGCATGTGTGCGTCCAGGAAGGCGTCCAGCTTGTCGGCATCAACGGTCTTGTCTGCGAAGATGGGCGCCCAGTGTTCTTGAAGTGCTCGCGCAATGCCGTCTGGGTCTTTCTCGACAGACTGGCCATGGTAAAGACGCACACCTCGAAGTAGAAGCCGAGCAGAGAAGGGGGCCCAGAGGCGACTACGTCGTTGCAAATGTCGTTGCAATCGCTGCTGATATTCGGCATATGGGTCTGCTGCAACCGGGTCGCCTTGGCAGCGTCCTGTTGGGCTTGTAGTTGAAGGGCGTGAAGATGGTAACGGTGCGCAACAGCCGTAGCGGTGGCGAAACAGCCTTCGTCCATCAGAGAGACCTCGGCACCGTCGATGCGCAGGTGCTCCTTACCCAAATCTGAGTGTTGAATGAGTGTAGCTGTGAGCGCCGTGTCCTTTCGCCAAATCGCCTCGCCCACGAAATCGATCGCATCGTTGCACTTCGTGCCGCCGTGACGTGCTGCCCCTTGGTACCCCCCAGGGAGGCTGGTGAGGTAGTTGCGGGTCAGTATGGCAGCGTTCGTGACGTTGGTCTTCATGATGCGCAGTCGTTGCCCAGCGGTGCGGCCCTCCATGAGGGACAACGAATGCAAGAGATCGTATTGCGCCTGAAACTGCGGCACCTCGAAGACGAAGTCGGGTATGCTCTGGCACTTCCCCTCTGTGCCTACATGGAGCCGAAGACGTAGGGATAGGACACCGTGGTCGCTCATCCTCTGATCACTGAGCTCCATCGCCTCCTGGTCGACGTGCAAGAGAACCTCGAGGTTGGGGATCGCTTGCGACGGCAAACTGATGAAGGCGCGGTCGATGCGTGTGGACGTAAGAGACAGGAGCGGACAGAGGGGGGCGGTCTCGCAGATGGGAGCCCCTAGAGGGCCACGGCTCAGAGCAACGGTCCTGAGCGAAACGCGGGGAACTCTCGAGCAGGAGCGTTGCTGCTGTTGGGCGACCGTTTTCGGCGGACACCCAAACGCTCGAGTGTGAGCCTCGCGTTCAAAGGAAATGCAGCCAGCGCCGAGGCGAGAGGGCCAGGGCGGATAAAGGGGGTCCAACAATGACAGTTGCTTCGCATCTCAGATCCGGCATGAATTTCAGACTGCTCGCTCTTCGTTGCCCGCGTGACACGTATCATGTATACCCCAAACCCTCGACACCCGCTCACTTCGTCTTCGATCGTGCCCCCTCCGAGTTGGGGGTACATGCTCCTTGCCTCCCTCGCGTAGTTGATACGGCACCCGAGATAGGAAGGGGACGGAGAAAGGAAAAAGGAAAAGCGAGGGGGCCAAGAGGGAAATGTGAGAATCGAAGACGAACGGAATTTCCCAGGAGGTGGAAGAGGGAGAAATCAAGGAGGGCCGGCAAGCGGACCCCAACGGGCAGGCCAGGCGGACCCAACGAGCGAGCTGGGCAGGCGGACCCTGATGGGCGGGCCCGGCGGGCGGGACACGAAAGCTCGCGGGCAGGCGAACGGGCAGACCGTACCGGGCAGGTCGGGCGGGCGGACCCCGACTTGGCGGGTCGGACGGGCGGACCCTGACGGGCGAGAGGGCGGGGCACTGAAGCGGGCGGGTGTCCAAGCAGGCGAGCGGGCCTACCCCAACGGTAACGGGCGGGTCGGGCGAGCGGGCCCCGACGGCTGGGTCGCATAAGCGGGGCACTGAAGGGAACTTCCTTGAATGCAAGGATGCGGAGAGGCCTCAGGCGAAAGCACGATGCAAAAGCGAATAATGAGGAAGTCTCGCGCGACCGTCGAGAGCGCAGCGCCTAAGTAGATAGCAAGAGAGTCCAAGGCGAGAGCACGAGTATTCAGCATAGTGTAACGAATTCTCGGGCGCGAGCGCGATCGCGAAAGAATGTGTGAGGAAGTCTCAGGCGGGAGCCGATGTTGTTGTAGACAGGGGGGCATCCACGCCGCTTGAGCAGGAAGACTTTCCCTGATAAAAACTTGGTGGGGGCGCGCCGGACAGGGGGGATCAGACCGCCAGGACGTACAACGATGCTGCAGGAGGACGAGCAGAGACGCCCCTGTCTCAAGAGGTGAGGTGCAGAAGCGTCGGCGGAAGGGGCGCAGAAGCAGCGCCTGAGAGAGAAGGGGGAGGGAGGAAAGAGGGGATGGTGGCGGTGGTGGCGGTAGCGGTGCTGGTGGTGGCGGCAGTGCTGGCGGTGGTGGCGGTGGTGGTGGTGGTGGTGGTGGTGGTGGTGGTGGTGGTGGTGGTGGTCGTGGTCGTCACCGCCGCCGTCGCCGCCGCCACCACCACCACCACCACCGCCGCCACCACCGCCGTCGTCGTCGTCGGCCTGCTGAGCGGGCGCCACAACGGACGCCGCCGCCAGAAGACGGGCGACGCGCTGCGCCGCCCGCGCCGCGAGGGCCTCGTCCTCCACCTCCCTCCGGCGCTTGGCCTCTGCGCGCGCCGCGAGGCTCGCCTCGGCGACGCTCGTCCTGTAGCTTGCGTCTGCCAGGTCCGAAATCCTGCGCCTATCGGCTACAAGCAAGGGTGACTGACCCTAGGCAGCAGAGACCCCTGGTGCGCACTTTTCGGGGGCCGCAAGGAGGCCAAACCCGAGAGTGCAAAACGCTGCTAGCGCATCGCGTTCAATCATCTGGGGGCCCAAGCGTGCCCGCACCGAAGGTCGTTTTGGCGAGAGGTCACTCTTACATGTAGCCGAGCCTGCCCCGCCTCCTCATCTCAGTCTCGCACCAAGGGCACACGGAGCCCCTTTGGTCCGGGACCCGGGCGTGCGAGCAGCAAACGCACCGCTCGTACCTCAATGGGTGCGTGAACCGAAGAGAACGAAGGAGGAAGATGGGGACAGGGTGGGAACGGCCGAAGTGGAGGAGGAGGAGGAGGAGGAGGAGGAGGAGGAGGAGGAGGAGGAGGCGCTTCTGCACGGCGCCGCCGAAGTTGCTGCGGTGCGCCCAGGATGCCGCCGTTGCGGGTGCCGGGCCAGTCGGGGGGGGCGACGCCGCCGCTGGCGCCCCAGGCGACAGCGGTGCTGCCGCAGCTGGCGCCTGGACCGCGCTGTCCTGCGGCGCGCCCCGATCTATCTTGTCAGCCCCATCCAGGGATTCCATCATCGCGCGGAACAGATTGTAGAGGAAGAAACAATTGCATAAGCATAAACTGTTGGAGGTCTGCGCGGACTTCTTGAATCTGCGCTGAGCCCCCCTCCCTGGCGCGCGGAGCGCGCCAGGGGCGGCACCAGAGGCGCCGCCAGGTGGGTCCAGCGCAGATCTAAGAAATCTGCGAGGAGCTCTGGAAGTTTATGCGTATGCCACTTGTTGGTCTTAGTGTGATGTTCTTATTCTTACTGATCGTATGAGTCTTCGGATGAATCTTCGTATTCTTGTGATCCGCATTGGCAATCGTATGTTGTTTTACTAGTGTTACTCTTACTACTCATCGTATTATTATGTGTTGCCTTGTTCTTCTTTCTTCTTCGAGATCAGGAGTTTGAGAAGAAGCCTGGAGACCCTGGGATGCCAACGCCCCACGAGGAGGAGGGGGCGGCGGCGAAGGCGGAGGAGATGGAATGAAGACCTCCGCCACGAAGGCCTCCGCGGACAAGTTCTGAGGGCGCCGCTGCGGAGAGACCCAGAAGTCTCGACCCTTTCTCCGGGACTGGCTTCTCACCCTGAATCGTTGCTTGACTTTCCCGAAGCCCGATAAGGGCCCCCGGAGGCCCCTTCCGTCATGATTGTTCCAAACCATCCTGGGGTGTTGGGTCCTCGTTTTGAAAAGACAGCGTCCCGCGTTCCTCCTCCTCCTCCTCCTCCTCCTCCTCCTCCTCCTTCTCCTCTCCTCCTCCCACCTCCACCTCCACCTCCTCCACCTAGTCCACCTCCTCCTCCTCCTCCCTCCTCCTCCTCCTCCTCCTCCTCCTCCTCCTCCCTCCTCCTCCCTCCTCCTCCTCCTCCTCCTCCTCCTCCTCCTCCTCCTCCTCCTCCTCCTCCTCCTCCTCCTCCTCCTCCTCCTCCTCCTCCTCCTCCTCCTCCTCCTCCTCCTCCTCCTCCTCCTCCTCCTCCTCCTCCTCCTCCTCCTCCTCCTCCTCCCTCCTCCTCCTCCTCCTCCTCCTCCTCCTCCTCCTCCTCCTCCTCCTCCTCCTCCTCCTCCTCCTCCTCCTCCCGCTGCCCCCTCCTCCTCCTCTCATCATCGTCATCCTCATCACTCGTTTCGGTACACCCCTCACACGTTTCGTGGCCCCATAGGGAGCTCCACCGAAGGCCCCAGTGGCAGGGTTCGCATGCGGTTCCCCGCCCATTTCGGCACACCCCTCACACGTTTCGTGGCCCCATAGGGAGCTCCACCGAAGGCCCCAGTGGCAGGGTTCGCATGCTGTTCCCCGCCCATTTCGGCACACCCCTCACACGTTTCGGCCCCGGTGGCAGAGTTCGCATGCGGTTCCCCGCCCATTTCGGCACACACCTCACACGCTTCGTGGCCCCATAGGGAGCTCCACCGAAGGCCCCAGTGGCAGGGTTCACATGCAGTTCCCCGCCCACTTCGGCACACCCCTCACATGTTTTCGTGGACCCATACCACCGAAGGCCCTAGCGGCAGGGTTCGCTCCCGGTTCCCCGCCCATTTCGGCACACCCCTCACACGCTTCGTGGCCCCATAGGGAGCTCCACCGAAGGCCCCAGTGGCAGGGTTCGCATGCGGTTCCCAGCCCATTTCGACACACCCCTCACACGTTTCGTGACCCCATAGGGAGCTCCACCGAAGGCCCCAGTGGCAGGGTTCGCATGCGTTTCCCCGCCCATTTTGGCAACGCCCCTCACACGTTTCGTGGCCCCACAGGGAGCTCCACCGAAGGACCCAGTGGCAGGGTTCGCATGCGGTTCTCCGCCCATTTCGGCACACCCCTCACACGTTTCGTCCCATTTCGGCACACACACCTCACACGCTTCGTGGCCCCATAGGGAGCTCCACCGAAGGCCCCAGTGGCAGGGTTCGCATGCGGTTCCCCGCCCATTTCGGCACCCCCCTCACACGTTTCGTGGCCCCATGGGGAGCTCCACCGACTGCCCCAGTGGCAGGGTTCGCATGTGGTTCCCCGCCCATTTCGGCAGCCCCCTCACACGTTTCGTGGCCCCACAGGGAGGCCCGTCGAACGATGGACCCAGAACAGGGTATCCACAACTGCTTATGGTTGGGTCCTTCGTCAGGCTAATTTCATGGCCCGAGGATGCTATCGCCCAGGGCGTCCAATGGTTTCGATGGCCCTGGATGCTTCCAAGACGGCCCAATACGTGGTCCCGGGACGGCCGCCCCCTAAGAGGCACCCACGATGGCCCAAAAACGCCCAGGGGGGGCCCAAGGAGGACCCAAAAGACGGCCACAGGACAGCCCACGGAGGCCCCAAGAGGGTCTTAACGTCCCCAGGAGGGCCCCGAGACGGCCCAGAGAGGCCCGCCCCCACGATGGACTCCGAGAGCGCCGAAATGGCCCAGGAAGGCTCCAAGACGGCTCCCTTCAGACAGGGCCCCAAGAGGTGCTCCGAAAGCGCCGGACGGCTCAACGGCACCCCAGCTCGCCGCCCGCTTTTGAGGGCTCCGGCGTGAACTTTGACGACGCTCCAGCCGCCGTGAGACGTGTGCAGCGGGAGCTCGCGCCACGCTTCAGACCAGGAACGGCGCCCTCAGAAGGCAGGGAGCCCCCCGCGGAGCGCCCCCAGAAAGCCCACCGACGCGTCAGGTGACGAACCAACAACACACACCCATACCCATAGAGGGGTCGGAGAGGGCTATGGGTGCGTGTTGTCGGATGGGGGTCCCCGCTCGAACGGGAGCGTTCCCCAGGGTCCGACAACCCGCACCCATACCCATAGCCAGTCCTCCTCCCAACGACCCCCCTATGGGTATGGGTGTGTGTGTTGCTCGTTCGTCATCAGGCGTTGCGGCCTCCCGCGCGCTCCGCGAGCTGCCGCCGCACGGGGTGCGGAGCTGTCGCCGCGGCGGGGCCTGCCGCAGGCAGCCGCGGACACGGGGTCGTTGCGAGCCAGCCGCGGGTGAGGGTTCACACCTGTTCGGCGTCTCGGGGGCGCGCAAGCACGGAGTAGCGGTCCGTGGCCTTGGCGCGCGGTCGCCAAGTCCATGGACCGGGGGAGGTGCCCTCCCCCCAAATGTGGCCAGTGCGGCCTCGCTCGGCGGCGGAAATCCGCGACTTCCCGTGGAAACGGGACCCGTTGCTAATCCACGCCCCCCCCCTTGATTCTGCGATCGCCGGAATGTTCGGGATCAGCAATATCAAGGCCCTCAGCTTCCCCCGCAATAGCTGTTGGGCGCCGGTGCCCCCCCCCAGCGTGGCGACCAGAATCAGTCCAAGCCAGTGCATGCCATGATGCTGCAGCTACCAGCCTGGTTTAAATGATGGCACGCTGGCCTGCTACATCGACAGCCAGTCCACAACATCGACAGACAGCACCCACCTGGCTTGCTTTCCTGGGGCGTTAGATCGAACATCTCATCAGCGCAGCAGTGGCACTGTCGAATCTTGGACGCTCACCCTAGCTGCTACTGGGACTCCCCCTCAACGACGTTCATCCGCTTGCTCTCACACTTGAGATTATCCTTCTTATGATTCGGGTAGCATCCCTCGGCGAGGTTACGCAAGCAACTGCGCAGGTAAGCGGACGACATCAGGGCCGAGCCGTGACCCCAGGCATTCCTGGCGCAGCATGCGAGTCGTTGGGCGCTTCTCCCAGCGCCCGCAGAGCGTGCAGAACCCCGCGTCTTGTCTTGGCGGAGTCGACGAGCTGCGCGAGGAAATGAGAGGCGTGGATGTCGCACGCGTGCCTGTGAGTCAGACGTCGAGTCCACAAGGGAGACCAAAGCGGCAAGCCACCATTGTGACTGGCCTGCGCGATTGGCGCCTGCGCGCTCGGCAAGGCGGCCAAGCGGTGCGGCTGGGGCGAGCGCGAACGGGATCTTGCGCCGTTGCCACCTGTCGCCGCTGCTGCTTTGTTGGAACGCTGAGTCCAAAAGATGTGGAGATGGGCTTGGGCTTGCGTGAAGTGGAACGGCTAACATCAGCGACCGATGATGGACGGCGACGAGGGGGCGGATGATGCGCGGATGGATGGGGGATCATCGCCAAGCGGTCGTCGGACGGTCGGCGGTCGTCAGTCGGTCGGCGGTCGGCGGTCAGCGGTCGGCCGGCGGTTGGTCGGCGCCGGCGGTCGGTCGGCGGCGGCGGGGCGGTTGGCGGTAGATCGGCGCTTGGCGGTCGGCGGTCGGCCGGTCGGCGGTCGGTCGGCGGTCGGCGTGGCAAGCAAAGGAGAGAGCTCTTCCGAGAGCTCGGCCACCAGCTCGGGGCCCCTCCTCGCAGCGGCCATGGCGCCGTTCCCGTTGGAGCCAATGTTTTTGTTATTCTCTTGCACAGCTGTGCTCTAGAGATCGGACCTCTTTATTTTCTTGGTTCGTTCGTGGTTCGTCGTCCCTGGACCCCCCCCCTCCCCCCCCTGGGCCGCCGAAGCCTTTATTTTCGTGGTTCGTTCGTGGTTCGTCGTCCCTGGACCCCCGAAGCCTGTATTTTCGTGGTTCGTTCGTGGTTCGTCGTCCCTGGACCCCCCCCTCGTCCGAGCCTCCCAGGATCCCCCTGCCCCGAGCCTCCCTCCGAGCCTCCCAGGGCAGCCCCCCTGGGCCTGCGAAGCCTTTATTTTCGTGGTTGGTTCGTGGTTCGTCGTCCCTGACCCCCCCCTCCCCCGAGCCTCCCAGGATCCCCCTGGCCCGAGCCTCCCCCCGAGCTTCCCAGGGTAGCCCCCCCGAGCCTCCCAGGGCAGCCCCCCTGGGCCGCTGAGCTTCCCCCCGAGCCACCCAGGGCAGCTCCCCCGAGCCTCCCAGGGCCTCCCAGGGCAGCCCCCCTGGGCCGCCGAAGCCTTTATTTTCGTGGTGCCCCCCTGGGCCGCCGAAGCATTTATTTTCGTGGTTCGTTCGTGGTTCGTCGTCCCTGGACCCCCCCCCTCCCCCGAGCCTCCCAGGATCCCCCTGCCCCGAGCCTCCCCCCGAGCCTCCCAGGGCAGCCCCCCTGGGCCGCCGAAGCCTTTATTCTCTTGCACAGCTGTGCTCTAGAGCTCGGACATCTTTATTGTCGTCGTGGTTCGTTCGTCCCCCTGGGCCCCTCCCCTTGAGACCCAGCTCCTCTGGGCCCCCCCCCGTGGGAGCCTTTGGGAGCCTCCCTCCGTCCAGGCTTCCTAGGGCAGCCCCCCTGGGCCACGGAACCGTTTATTCTCTTGCAAAGCTGAGTTCTAGAGCTCGAACACCTTTATTTTCGTCGTTGTGGTTCGTCCACCTGGGCCCCCTCTGGCTCCCCTGGGCCGCGGCCCCCCCTCCCCCGAGCCTCCCGGGACTGCTCCCCCCCCTGCGGCGGCGCCGCGGCGGCGACCGCGGGCGGCGAGCCGCGCGGCGGGGCGCCGCCGACGACTGTCGTCGTCGTCGTCTTCGTCGTTGTTGTCCTCGTCGTCGTCCTCCTCCTCCTCCACTTTCTTTCTGGCTCCTCGTAAACTCCTCCTGAAAGACGAAAGCGGGGGCCTCCTGTCCTTCGCAGCTCCTTTGTGCAAGAGCCAGGGCACGCGTGCCACTTGTTCGTGATGCGGTCGAGAACTTTTGCTTAGCATGTCGCCGCGGCGGCCCTGGCGACACGCTAAGCCGTGCAAGCGGATAGCGTGTCGTTCCGCGCCGCGGGGCGGGAAGCTGGGTAAGTCTCGGGGCGCTGTCGCTGGGAAGTGGATGGCGTGTCGCGCCGAGGCGCGGTGGGCCAGAACCAGCGGAGCGACATGCAAACCAGAAGTTCCCGGCCGTAACGCCCATGCCTGACCCCGCCCCCCCGCCCTGGTCGGTCACGTCACGATGCGCGCCGGCGTGGTGTGGGGGTTGGCCATTCTTAAACATTCTCAACGGGCGCTGGCGCGAATCGTGCCGCGACTGGCCCCCTCCCCCCTATCGGTCACGCACGTTATCGCGAGGGGATACAAAGACATCATCATCATCATCATCATCATCATCATCATCATCATCATCATCATCATCATCAGCATCATCATCGTCATCATCGTGTTCACTATCATCATCATCATCATCATCATCACCACCATCAGCATCATCATCATCATCAACATCATCATCAACATCAGCATCGTCACCATCATCATCACAACCACCACCAAAACCATCACCACCACCACCATCATCGTCATCATCATCAGCATCATCATCACCAAAAGTATCAGTATCTCATGATCACCCGCATCAACATCAGCATCGTCAAACTCAGCATCAACATCATCAGCAACGACAGCATCGTCATCATAAATATTCGAATCACCATCGACATCAGCAGCACCATCATCATCATCAGCAGCATCAGTACCATCATCAGAATCATCATCATCATCGTCGTCGTCACCATCCGCATCATCATCAGCATCAGCATCAGCATCGGCATCAGCATCGTCAAATTCATCAGCATCATGGTCGGAAGCCGTAACATTGTCATCATAAACACCAGAATCACCATCGGCATCAGCACCACCATCATCATCACCAGCATTATGATCATCACCAAAATCATCGTCAACAAAATCAGCATCATCAGCATCGTCACCATCATCATAACCACCACCACCACCACAACCATCATCACCACCACCATCATCGTCATCATCATCAGCATCATCATCACCAAAAGTATCAGCTCTATCATTACCATCATCAGCATCAGCATCATTATCAGCATCACCATCGTCAAACTCAGCATCAGCATCATCATCGGCAGCCGTAGCATCGTCATCATAAACATTAGAATCACCATCGGAATCAGCATCACCATCATCATCATCAGCAGCATCAGTATCATCATCAGTATCATCATCGTCGTCGTCGTCCGCATCAGCATCCGCATCAGCATCAGCATCATCATCCGCATAATCACCAGCATCAGCAGCATCAGCAGCATAATCACATCAGCACCATCATCATCATCATCATCATCATCATCATCATCATCATCATCATCATCATCATCATCATCATCATCATCAACCACAGCATCATAAGTAGTATCATCATCAGCATCATCGTCATCATCAGCCTCATCATCATCATTCCTGGGTCACGCCCGTGATCGCCAGGCGGGAAAACAAACTGTTTCAGGTCTGGTGTTCGCCAGGGCCCTGGCAGGCCCGCCACGGCGGTTTCTGAAAAGCGGAAGAGGCACCAACCAACGCAGCAAGGACGGACCCAGCAATCCTCGCGGCAAGAATCCACGACGCCAGGTTAGCTCCCGCTCCCTTCCCTCTTTTTTTTTTCTTTGGCGAGGCACCAAAGCTTCGAGGCCGCTCCCGTCCCCGGTTTTCGGCCGTCTTCGGCACCCACGGCAGCCGAGAAACGACCCTGGGAGAAAAAACCTGGCCTCTGGAAGGCGTCCGGACCGAGTGGGAGGGGGTACTGGTGCCAGCCGAAGAAGTGCGCGCGAACCTCCGAAAGACCATACTCTGGCCATCGCTCGGAAGTCCATACCCTGTGTTTTTTTCGATGTCGTGCGTGGTTCTTTCGCCAAATGATCAAGGATGCTCCTCGATGGTCCTCGCCGAAGGAAAAATCCAAACGTCCGAACGATGCAAGGTACTTGTGTCGCTTGTTGGTATTCCGACATCCCCCCACATCCCCGTCTCTCATCTCGTGGACGGGCGACACATTCATATCCACCGCGTCGCAGTCTGGACTCTTCGGCCGCGACCCCATGGGTACAGGGCGGCTTTGCGCGGATGCCCTTCGCGGAACGTGTCCATGGGATGGCGTATCCAGGGGATCGCGCCTCGGTAACCAGACCGCGTGGGCATGGATATGGATGCGCTCGTCGCTCGCGACCACTCTCGACACTCCGACAAAGAGGGGGAGAGAGGTTGAGAGGGGGGGGAAGGGAGGGGAGATGGAAGAACACGTTTGTCCACACGCTGTGCCGTGCAAGCGGAAAGCGTGTCGCTTCGCTCCGCGGGGCGGGAGGCTGGGAAGCGACACGTTAAGCCAAAGTTCCTGACCGTATTCATATTGGAGGCGGCCAGGGGTTCTAAATAGGTTGGGACCCCCGAAGATCGGTCAGGACGGGGGATGGAGAGGATTCCACTCAAAATCGGTCCCTGGACCCTCCGGGAGTCCACCTGGTGCAGGTGCTCCTCCCGGGTTCGTTTCCTGACGGGCCCCAGGGCCCGAAGACGGCCCCCAGATAGGGGGCCAGATGCGAACCCTACCCCTACCCCCCACGATTTCTGAGGGGGGGGGGTCACTTCGCTCGGGAGCTCCCGAACGAAGTGAACCCCGCCCTCCCCCTCAGAAATCGTGGGTGGTAGGGGTAGGGTTCGCACCTGGCCCCCTACCCAGAGGCACCCTCGAACCTGCCACGCCTTCGAGCTGGCTGGAGTCGGTGCTGGGCCACCGCAGGCCCCCAGCCGTCGCCCAGCTGCAGAGGCGGAGCCGCCGCGCGGCGAGGAGCGCTGGCGCATGGCCAGGGGCGGCGGGGGGGCTGGCATGTCGCCTGCTGCATATGCAGGGCCACGATCCTGGCCATCGCTCGGACGTCCATTCCCTCCTGTGTTTCTGTTCGGTTTCGTGCGTGGTTGTTTCGCCAAAGGATCAAGGATGCTCCTCGATGGTCCTCGCCGAAGGAAAAGTGCACACGTCCGAACGATGCAAGGGATCCCTGTCAACACAACATCTTCGCCAGCGTGGACCCCAAACAGTGATGTCTTGCAATATGCGCGGTGCAGTCTATATATAGGTGGTGCAATCGGTGTGGTAAAATCTGGGTGGTGCAATCCATGTGGTGCAGTCCACGCGGCGCACAACAGCCCAAAGCAATTCAAAGCAACGCCAAACAATGTTAACGCAAAGCAGCGCAATACATAGCAATGCAAAGCCAAGCAGAGCAATGCAATGCAAAGCAACGCAAAGCAATGCAAATCATTGCAAGGCAGCACAAAGCAACACGAAGCAATAAATGCAAAGCAATGCATTGCAATGCAAAACAACGCATAGCAAAACAAATTGACACAAAGCCTGCAGAGAGATGCAAAGCAATGCCAAGCGTAGCCGCCAGACCGACGCACAGGCCTAGCTGTTTAGAAAAAATAAGAAGCAGCGCAAAGGAATGTCAACCAATGCCAAGCAATGCAAAGTCATGCAGAGCAGTGCAACGCAAGGCAATACGAAGCCAGGAAAAGTCATGAAACAATGCAAATCAAGCAACACAAAGCAAATCAACTTAAAGCAACGCAAAGCAATGCGACGTGGCGACGACGAGGCGGCGACGGCGACCACCAGGCGGCGGATACGACGCGCAGGCCCAGGCAACGGGGCGGAGACGGCGGCCACATAGCCGCCAGACCGCCGCGCAGGCCCAGACGACGGACGGCGGCGACAGGGCGGCGACGGCGGCCACATGGCCGCCAGACCGCCGCAGAGGCCCAGTCCCTCAGAAAAGAAGCAAGAACCCCTGAGTGCAAGCTCTGCTTGAGGAAAAATCCACCGACCCTGTCCGCGTGTGCGAGAGGCTGTTTCGTTTAACTCGTCGGCGTCGACGTCGTCGTCGTCGCCGTCGTCGTCGCCGTCGCCGTTCCCCCATTTACCCTGAGCCCTCCTACGCCAGCGCGCCAGACAGAGCGGAACAGCCTAAGCAAAATTGAGAAAAACGTCGTCATTGAGTCGAAGGGAACCCCCTTCCGTTTGATCCCTTCCCCGCTGGCGGGGGGGTAAACGGGCGGGTAAGGGGGGTCCCGGGGGGTTGGTCCCGGGTCAGAATACCATCCCCCCAAGGGGTCCTGGGACCCTAGAAGCCCCCCAGAGGCCCGCCCCACGAGGCCACCAGGCGCCCACAAGGAACCGCCAGGAAGCCGCAGGAGGCTCCCACAAGGCTTACAAGACACCCCGAAACTTCGTGGGGGTGCTTGGGCACCTCTTGGGAGCCTCGTGTAACCTCTTGGGCACTCTTGAGAACGTCTGATCCCGACCTTCCCGAATGCCTCTTACATCGTGGGGGTCGTCGTCCGGGGTCGGTGGCACCGGCCGTAAGGTCTTAGCAATACAGCATGCTCACTTTGCCGGGGACGGCGGGGGCCGCCGCGCAGGCACGGAGCAAGACCCCGGACATGTGGGCCCCCCAGAAGTTCCGACCCTTTCCCGACAGCTCGTCCTGCACCCGGGGCCGCTTCCTGACGGCCCCGAGGCCCAGCACGGGCCCCGCTGAGGCCGCAGAGGGCGCCAGACCTTCTGGCGCGACTCTTCAGGACGCGAGCCTGTCTGGGCAGCGACGGCCCGCGCGCGCGCGCGAGCCGTGGCGTCCTGTGCGGGCAGGCCCGGGCTGCCGCCGCGGGCCCCGGGGGCCGCCGCCGGCGAGCCGCGCGGCGGGGGGGCGTCGGGCGGCGGGGAGGCCGCGGCGCCGGAGGCGGCCGCGGGGGCCGCGGCGGCCGCCGGCGGCGGAGGCGGGGAGGCGTGGGACGGCGGGGGCCGGCAGGGAAGGCCCATTCCTGCCCTGGCCTTCCAGGAGGGCCAGAAAAGATAGCCCTCCAGACCTGTAGACCTGTCAGGACTGCCTCTGACATCTCGACCGGAGTTTCTGGACGTCAGGGTCCTGCTGCTATCTTTTAGCCCCAGTGGAAGTTCAGGGCTGCCCGCTCCCCCGGGTGCCGACCAGGACCTGCAGCAGGAAGTGCCAGAGAGGCCCCAGCGGTTCTCGATGGGTTTGGGCATCTAGGGCGAGGCCCAGGAGGGGGCGCCGAGACTCCAAAACGGTCCAGGAGCTGGGGCACCCCTTGGCCAGGGAAACTTCCGTACACGCCCAACCACCCATCCTCCATTTCCTTTTCCTCCGCCGACTCCCCCTCCCCATCTTCCCTCCTATTCCCCATTCGTCCTTTTACTTATTCATCCTCCTTTTTACTCATTGTTCCTTCCTCGCCTTTCATCATTCCTCTTTCCTCCTTCCTCCTTCTCCTCCTCATCCTCTTTTTCCTCCTGGTCATCCTTTTCCTCCTCCTCCTCCTCCTGGGACGCTGAGACGGTGATGGACATGGTGTTCGTCGAACGCTGCCGGTTCTTCCTCCTCGTTCTCACATTCCCCCTCCTTCTTCTGCCCCTCCTCATTATCATCATCACCATCATCATCATCAGAAGCATCACCATATTTATCGTCATCAGCAGCAGTAGAATCATCACCATCAAGTTCATCACCATCGTCATCAGCAACATTATCGTCATCATCATCAGCACCACGCGCAGCAGCTCGCGCCGTTCTCCATTCCTGCGACGCCCCGACTCGAAAGAAGCACAGACGGCTGGCTCGCAACGAGTCGTTTCGATATTGAGGTTGCGCCGGTTGCGTTTGAGTCGACGCAACTGGACGTTGGCCAGAACACGTTCGCGGAGCCAGTCGCACGCGCGATTGGGGTTATTTGATTTCAAATTGTCGCAATCGCGCATGTCCTGCTTCGCCCATTAATGTCCGCGGATCTGAGTTCGGAACAATGACTCAAATATTTGCGTATCCGGTGGTTCGCGGTATTCCTAAAATGATTCTCCCCCGTCAACATCGAACCGCTGGAGATCGTCGCCCCGCATGCAAATTACTTGTAGACGTTCTAAGTCATGCGGCGCGTCGTCGACGTCAGTGACCTTGTCCGATTGCAATCCAGTCCAATGGATATGTCGAGTTTTCAGCACGCGGCTGGCTTCATGCTCTCGGGCTTCGAGGCCCCTCAATGCGCAAAGGAGCTCAGCATCTGGAACTGCCGAGAGTGCATCAGCAAGTTTGCACGCGATGTTTTCGAAACCGCCGCTGTCTTGTAGAAGTTGTTCGGCAACACAGAGGACTGCAAATGCCTTGGCAGGGCGCCAAGAGGCGCGGCCTCACTATCCCCTGGCCATATGTTGCCACTCCTGCAACTGTGTAGCGCGGGGCAATTGAAGAATACGCACAGTGTCCGATTCCTTAATTTGGTTGGTGCCACCGAGAGAGAACTGCGAGAGGTCCTGCGATGGAATCGGTGGCGTTGGCGATGGTTCACGCGCAGGGGAGACGCGACGTGTCTGAGCCGAGGCCGCAGCAGAGGCGGCCCCTGGCGACTGACGTCGCGGTTGTCCAGCGCGGATGTTTCCATCGGCAGGGGTCGGGACAGAATCGGCGGTAGGTTGTGGAGGCGGGGTCGAAGTGTGGATCTGAGCGTCGCTCATGTGGACCTTCATGGTGCCTCCAGTTGTTGCGATGTCGGTCTGCATCTTGTCAACGCTCGTAAACCACGCATCTCGTCGTTGGTGTCATCGCTGGGAGTGCCGGCCCAGCTGCTCCAAGTCCTGGATTCGTCGGTCGCGCGCTTCAAGCACTCGTTCCAAACGGGCGAGTACATCCTCGACCCATGCCTTTTTTGTAGCGTCTCTTTCGTGGGGGATCTGGGTGAGTCGCAACTGCGCGTGGTCCGCCGCCTTCCATGCCTCGGCCATTCGGGCTTCGAGGGTGGCGAAATCGCAAACTGGAGTCGGGGTGCCCAGCTGATCAGTCGGGGCCCGCGCAACACGCAACTCAGCCAGCGCAACCTGCATGTCGGGCAACTGCTGCTCGACCATTGAGACTCGGGTCTCAAGCGCTGCCACGCGCCCCTCCGAAGCGTCAAGACGTTGAGCGATGGCGATGGCCGTCTCAGAACTGGGCAGCTTGCCGCGCAGCTCGGACGCGGTCGCGGTACTTCGGGAGCGTAGGTTGGCAATGGTCACTTCAACCTGAGCACGAAGCGCAGTTGGGTCGTCTCGGAGCTGTCGATCCGCAAGCCCATGTACCTCCATCGCTGGAACCTGCCGCACTGTCAGCAGCTCACCGCGTAGAGCCCTGACAGCAGCAGCGCCCGCGCCCCTGACGCTCACGAGTTGGGCCTCTACTGCGAAGAGATAGTCGTGGAGCGTGTGGATTGCAGTGGAGTCGGAACCTCGGCGTGACTCCGCGCGGTCGACTTGATACTGGACCTGCGCGGGGATCGATCGATCATTAGCGGTCCGTGCGTCGACGAGAGCAACAGCGTTGTGGAGTTGCTGCAAAAATGTTGCTGTCTGCGCCGCAAGACCCGACAACTGTCGGGTCGTGCAAGTTGCAACCTGCTCTAAGCTCGGCCAGATCGCTGGCTGAGGGCAACGCGCACGGCGCGACGTCGCGCCGCAGGGAACTCTGCCATGAGCGCCTCTGAGAGGGGCTGCGGCTGTTGCCCCTATTGGGGGACTGGATATGATACCGCTCGGGGGCTCTTCGCTGCGAGGTCCGTCCAGCGCGATCTTCCATGACTCGCGCGTGTTCTGAGACGGAAACCTCGGCGGGGTTCATGCGACGCCGTGCGCCGCGACGGCGGCGTCGCGCGGAAGCGCTCTGGGGAGACGTCTCACTGGCGCCACCACCGCGGGTGTCTCCACTGGCGAAGGTTGAAGATGGAGGCGAGGCGAATCCAGCGGCGGTTTCGAGGGCAACCGCGGGTGTTTCCACCGGCGAGAGGTCCGAGCTAAAGGTGGCGCCCAGGAGACATCATAGTCAACGGGGCATTGTCCGAACCCTGGCATGCGAGAAGACGCCGGCGCGGGAGGCGTGTCGGAGTCCATGTCTCCGAGTGCAGCCTCTAGCGCGTCGGCATTGCCGTCGCATGAAAGGGGGGAAGACGGTATCGCCAGTCCCGTTGCCCTCTCCGTGGCGTCGTGACGCTCGCGCTCCGTGGGGTCCAGCGCCATTCGGCTGAGTCAAAGACGATGCGGGGTGTCACAACGGAGAGCGAAATAGAATAGGCTGATAACCTGTGTATGTAGGTTGACGACCGAAGAGTCGAACCTACAAGGTTTCCCGTAGGTAGAGGAAGGTAAGGAAGACGATAGCGAGCCCTTTTTTTCCCATGCGCCGCGGGCAGGCGGCGCTGTACCTATCATCAGGACCTAAGCCGAGACGGCAGCAATAGATATGGGTACAAGCGGTGATATGAACGGACTTCACACACATCATTATCATCAGCACTATCATCAGCATAATCATCATCGTCATCATCATCATCATCATCATCATCATCATCATCAGCACCAGCACCATCATCATAATCATCATCATCATCATCATCATCATCATCATCATCATCATCATCATCATCACCATCACCATCACCATCACCATCACCATCACCATCACCGTCATTATCGTCATCATCATCATCATCATCATCATCATCATCATCATCATCATCATCATCATCATCATCATCATCATCATCATCATCATCATCATCATCATCTGCCTGGGGTCTGTCCTGGGCAGCGGGGGAGCGAACGAAAGGGCGCCCTTCACCGCGGCCACCCGACGGCGGGGGGGGGGGGGGAGACCGCCGCGCCCGCTGGCCTGCACGTCCCGCCCACACCCTCGCCACCAGTAACTTGGGGGGGAGACGGGCCAGGGGGAGGTCTTCGTACCGGGGCAACACGGCTGCAGGGCCCAGGATGGACCGGGCCGAGGGCAATGGATACAGGCCTCGGAACAATGACAAACCACATTCGTCCGCCAACGCCTCCCCCTCCCCACAATGTTCAAAGTTGGCGGTGGGTCTGATGAGATGAACTTCGACCGCAGTCTCCCCCGCGCGTGCCAACATTGAGTTTGGGGGGAGGGGGAGTGTTCAGTAATTGTTTCCCTCTACCGTATGTACGGATCCCGTCGCCACGCAAGAATGACTGATGGCGAGTGCACCCGTTCAAGGGGCCAGTATGCCAAGTTTGACGGACCAAGCCAGGGGTTCAGCTGGAGCATGCCGGATTGAACGGGTTTAAACCGAACTGGGCGTACTTATGTCGGATGCGTTCCTTTGTTCCTCTCAAGTTCTCCAATTCGAGTTGCGAAATGTTCACATATCACCATTGGTACATCATCCTGGTCCGCTCACGCGGATCTGTTTGCGTATGGGGCTGGTAATTTGCTTGCCCAAATCAATGGCCGCTTGCACTGCTCTGTCGGCAGCAATCACTTCCGTTGCAAAGGCGCTATCCTGCTGCTCCAAATAAACGGCGTCAATTCGTGCAAGAAGGATGTCGTGGTCTTACTACTGCACGCCAAGAAGGAAGATGGCACAAGCAGCCGCTCCACGAGTGCCACCAAGCCCCCCCGTCCGAATGCTGGTTTTCGACCACGGAAATGCCGTGCGCTGATGCTGAATTTAACCTGCCAGAAGTTGCATCCTGACTGGGGGGATGGGGGATGGGGGATAGGAAGACGGAGAGGGCGAGTGGGCAGAGGGCGACGAGGACAGCGGGACCCAGGCCTCATCCCGCAGCACGTTTTTTTGTTCTCTGAATCCCCCCTCCCGCATCTGAAAACGCCGATGCTGGAGGATGTCTGCACAGACCTCCGACGTCATGAATTTCTGCGTGCCCTGCCACGCTCGATCCTTCTCCGGGACCGGCCGTTCATCATGAATTGTTTGGGGGGGGGGATGCAGGGCTTCATCCGTGTTTTTTCAAGGCTCCCCGACTCCCCCCTCCCCGCTGGAAATGGAGGGCAAAATGAGGCCTTCGAGTCAGGTTGGGGGGGTGCGGTGGGTGGTGATAATGAGGCCGTCCCAGGGCTCGGGACTGGCCTGCGGATGCCGACATCTCCGGAGCACCTCGGGCGTGACTCGCCCCATCGGCCAGAAGCCCTTTGAAGCAGAAGCCCGGGAGAGGCCCTCGCGCGGGCGCGGCGGGCGGCCCCCGCCCCGTCTGGGGAGGGCAGCGAGTCGGTCTCGCTGTACAGGGCCTCGGACGCGAGGGCCTCGCCCGCCGAGAAGGGCGGCCGGTACTCCGGCAGCGGCGGGGAGCCGCCCCCGGGCCAGGCCAGCAGCGCCGCCCCGGCGACGACGCCGGCCCTGCAGAGGCCCTGGCGCGCGCGGGCCTTCGCCTTCGGGCGCGGCTCCGTGCGCTCCGGCGTGCGGCGCCTGCGCGGCGGGGCCCGCCGCCGCGCCGGGCGCGGGGCGCCGCCCGGCCGCTCCGGGCGCGGCGCGCCGCGCGGCGCCGCGCCGCGCCCGCCGCCGTCGGGGCTCCAGCTCGGGCTCGCGCCGCTGCTGGAGCTGGAGCTGGACGCGCCGCGGCCCCAGCGCTCCGCGCCCTCGGGGCCCGCGCCGGCGTGCACCCTCAGCCGCCGCTGCAGCACGGCGGGCGCCGCGGCCGCCTCGGGCGCCGCGGCGGCCGGGGCGGCGGCGCGGGCCCTGATGCGCACGACCAGCCGCCGCGTGGCGCCCGCGGCTGGCTGGGCCGTGGGCTGCCCGGTCTGGGAGTCGGGCCCTGCGGCGGCGGGCGGCTCGGCCTCGGCGGCGGCGAGCGGCCCCGCCTCGGAGGCGGGCACCGAGGCTGCCTCGGCCGCGGGCCGGTCCGCCGCAGACGGCTCGGGCGCGGCTGGCCCTGCGGGGGCGGGCGGCCCGGCGGCGGCGAGCGACGCGGCCTCGGCGGCGGGCCCCACGGTCGGCTGGGCCTCGGGCCGAACAGACGTGGCCAGTCGGCCGGGGGGCCGGCCAGGACCACGGTGCGGCGTGACGCGGGAGGTGGCCGGCCCGAAGCACGAGGCCGCCATGCCAGTGGCCGCGGCTGCGGCCCCTGCGAGCGGTCTGGCGGGGTCCGTCGCGGCAGGCGGCGCGGCCCGGCGAGAGGCTCCGCGGCGGGCCCTGCGGCGGCCTCGTCGGCCGCAGCGGGAGGGTCGGCAGCGGCGGCCGCGGCCTGCCTCTCCCCCTCGGCCGGTGCACTCGCCAGCTCCGCCGCCTCGCCGGCTGCGACGGCGCCCGCGCGACCGCACAGCAGGCAGGCGTCGGATATGGGACAGGAAGGCACGGGGCACGGAGGAAAGCGCCCCCGACACCGCACGCTCGCGGAGCTGGCTCCCCCCCTGCCCTACCCTTCGCCTCCCTCCTCCCCCATCCTCCCCTGCCGCTTTCGCCTCCCCATACCCTGCCCCATCCGCCTCCTTCCTCGCTCTCCTCCCCCCTTCCCCTCCCCCTCCCTGGCCCCTCCTCCTCGCCCTCGAGGCGTCTGACCCCGTGTCTTCCCGGACTCTGGGCGCCAGCGGGCCAGGCCGCCTGAGGCAAAATGGCAGCGGGCGATCATGAGCGCTGCTCACGCGGAGGGCGGGAGGAGAGGGTGAGAAGAGAGTACCCCAAGCTGGCGATGGGACAATGCACTGTGGCAGCCGACGCGGATACTCCTCACTGTTTGTGTGAAGGGCACAGATGTAGCCCCGAGTAGTCAGTAGGACGAGGGAGGAGACGGGAGGAGGGAGGATGGCGGAGGGAGGAGGGAGGGGAGGGAGGGAGGGAGGGAGGAATGGAGGAGGAACGGAGGAGGAGGAGGAGGAGGAGGGAGGCAGGAGAGGAGGAGGAGGAGGAGGAGGGAGGAGGAGGAGAAGGGGGAGGACCAGGGAGGAAGGGCAAGGGAAGTGAGGGGAGAGGAGGCAGGAGGGACGCGAGGAGCGCGCCGAGCCTCTCCCGGCGCCGCAAGGGATGATCGGACCCGCCGCCGCCGCCACGCAGCCGTCCGCCCCCGCCGCCCGCGGGAGGCCGCCGGCGGAGCGCGGCGCCGCTCCGAGGCGCCGGCCGCCGGCCTCCGCGCGCCGCGGGGCGCGCGCCTGGCGGCCTGCGCGCCGGGCGCCCGCGAGCTCTCGGCGAGGTCCGGCGGCGAGCGGCGGCCCCCGGGGAGGGCGCCGGGCGCCCTCGTCACGGCGGCGGGGGCGGGCGGCGCCCGCGGGGAGGCGGCCAACAACAGCCCTGACCTTCCAGGAGGGCTACAGAGTACACAGCCAACCCGTCTAGGAAGGAGGCGCGATAAGGAGGCAGGGCCCCTGGAGGGGCATGTCCAGGTGGCCCAGGATGCACCGAGGAGGCAAGGATGCAAGGGTACCCTTGGGAAGGCTGCCCGTCCTTCCAGGAGGGCTACAGTCAAAAGCCCCAAGAAGGACGCGCGGTGAGGACGCAAGACCCTTGGAGGCCGAGGTTGGGATTTTCTGGAGCGGCGGGCGACGAAGACCTCAAGGACGCAGGAGCAAGGAAGAGCAAGGACGCAAGGGTACCTTGAGCAAAGTCGCGCGTCCTTGTTAGGGTTTTCGACTGTACAGAATACAGCCAACCCGTCTAGGAAGGATGCGCGATGAGGAGGCAGGGCCCCTGGAGGGGCATGTCCAGGTGTTCGAGCGGGGCGCGACCAGCGAGAGTGGCCAAGGATGCACCGAGGAGGCAAGGATGCAAGGGTACCCTTGGGAAGGCTGCCCGCCCTTCCTAGGCGGGTCGACTGTAGCACCAGGATCCTGGCACCAAAAAATCCCAACCGAGGTTCTTGAGCAGCCCAGGCCCATAGGCCTGGAGTGCTGCTCTGCAGCGCTCTGGAAGCTCCGGGAGGCCGCTGGCCAGGGCTCCCGCCCACGCGCGCCGCGCAGCGGGGCGGCACCCCCGCGCGGCGAGCTGCGCCTCCACGCGCCCCGCGCGGCGGGGCGCCGGGCGGGCGCCGAGGGTCACCTCCGCTTCTTCGGCTTCTTGGGCGGTGGCCGCGGCGGCGAGCCGGCGCTGCGGCTGCGGCCGCGGCGGGAGGCCGCCGCGGCTCGCCTCGGCGGGTGGGGGGGGGGCGTCGCGCGCGCAGGCGGGCGGCGCGGAAGGCGCCGGCAGGGTGCTGGTGGGGTCCCGGTGGGGCTGCGTGGCGGGGTCCTGGTGGGGTCCTGGCAGCGTCCTGACGACGCCTCCCTCCCTCGCTCCCATTCTTGAGCGAGCTGCTGTGGGAGGATCCTCCCCCCAAACTGACTACCTACCAGACCACCCCAACCCAACCCGAAGACCCGAATTTCGGGTTGGGGGGGGTAAGGGTTCCATATGTGTTTTTTCGATGTTTCCCGAACCCCCCCCACTGGAAATTGAGGGTAAATCTGAGCCTTCGGGTTGGGTTGGGGTGGTTTGGTGGGTGGTGACAAACGGAGTAAGGCTCAGCGCTGTGGACCTTGAAAGGATCTTGAGCCCAAGATCCGGCACGTCAATCAAGAGAGGTACAGGCCAGCTGCACAATGCGGCACTGTCACACGCGAGCTCACCACGACAGTGACCCAGCTCATTCGTCCACAACTGGGCGGCTTCCTTTCCCTCAGGCGAATGAGTGCCGTATACTTTGCTGCGACCAAAGAATCAGTCCCAAGGTGCGCAGCTTCGCATTCACGCATTATCCCATCATTGAAGAGATCGCCCTTGCTCAGACTGACCGGCAGGCCCTCCGAGCATCGACGCAAGCAAGTTAACCTGTACAACAGGCTTTCCACTCTGAGCCAACGACGAGCGAAAACAAACTAACTGCAATAAGTGATTATACCTGGTGGCATGCCCGTACTGACCGCACTGGAATCAATCACTAGCTTCAAAACTCAGCAATATCCATCCTCCTTCTCTCCATTCCTCCCTCCCTCCCTCCGTCCCTCCTTCTCCTTTCAGTCCTACTCGCATCATCATCCTCTGCACCCCCGCCCCACAGAGGCCATCTCCATGGCTAGGCGCATCCTGGACGCGGCGCGGGAAGCAAGCTCAAACGATGCGCAGCCCATCCTCCTCTTTACAGGGACCAAGGTCTTCGACTGCGTCGACCCCGTGACTTCGCTGCAGGCTCTGCGCCGCTTCAGGCCGCCGGACAAAGTTACGAAGGCTGCAGGCGCGGTCTGCAACAGGCGTGGCTTCGCTGCGCGAGACGCAGACCTCTGCCCTGCAAGAGCAGACGGCAGTGGTCTGTCCGGGATGTCCTCTCCCACCGCTCCTGTTCCCAGTGCGGAGCACGCTTTGGAAGGACGGCCAGGCCAACGACTCCGTGCACGCAGACGGCACTTTGACCATGGCGGGAAGCGCGGGGCGAACTGCCCTACACACATGCAGGACGCATTGCGCGCCATCGCCAATCACGACCGTCGCTACAGCCGAAAAGCTGGGGATGCTGCTGGGCGAGGTGCGAAGCGTATAGCACCAAGCCGAAATGGCCAGCCAGGGCCGAACAGCCCTGTAGGCTTGGGGACCGTGCTCTCCATCAACGGCGACGTCGACGCTTAGCTCGGGAAGCGGAGTGCGGATCATCGTTGGCGGGCGTAGTGTAAGGTCTGCAAGGCGGACATCTCTCCAACTCTACCGCGCTTAGGGCCATGAGCTGGCCCGTTCGGGCAAGCTTCTCTCTTGCGAACGGTACGGCGTGGTGTCTGCTCGAGCGGGCGCGGATGCAAGCTGCCGTCACCGTGCGAGACCCCGACAGCTAATCCCACTGCAAAGCATCGTCTCTTGCTCCTGCTCCAATGCAGACATTCTGACACAGCACATCATCCTCGCGTCAGGACGGCCCAAACCTGCCCCGAACTCCCTCCGAATGCTGCCCCAAACGTCCGCCGAATGTTGTCCGAAACGTCCGCCGAATCCCACGCGCAACAAGCCATCGACAGCCGCCCCGCGGACGCGCCCGCAGAACGGGACCATCGCATGTGTAATGTCCACTCAGGGCAGCTCGACTGCACTCGTGGAAGCGCGGTTTGGGAGCTCGGCGGATCAGGTTCTGGGCCACCGCAACGAGCACCGAGAGCGTGACCGCCAGGCCGGGAGCACGCCGAGGAGGAAGACCCCCCAGAGCGTCGCCGAGGGCTCGGCCACAGGGAGCGGCGCTGGCCCACAGTTCTCCAGCTGCTTCGCCAGAGCCGCGCCGAGGCTAAGATCGCCGCGGCGGTCACAATCGCAATGGCAATGCTGATGGCGTTCGCGGACAAACTGGCCGAGGGCCGCACTGTGAGAGGAGCGGCCACGTCTACTAGATGTCCATTCTCGAGCCAGAACAGACTGCAGAGCAAGATGTACCAAAGAACATTGCACAGACACATCTAACACACCCCCTCGCGACGCTACTCCCTCAGAGGAATCAACCACCAGCAAATCAGTTAGAGGCTCTCGCCTCAGCGCCGCGCAAATTCGTCCTAAAAACTTGCAAAGGCTTGGCAGATTGAAGGCGGGCCGTTTTCAAAATGTGGCTCTCGCCGTAGCGCCGCGCATATTCGTCTTAAACATGCAAGGTCTGCACGGATTGAGGACGGGTGGTTTTCAACATGTGGCTCTCGCCCCAGCGCCGCGCACATTCGTGCGCCGCGCACACTCGTCTTAAACATGTGCAAAGGCTTGGCGGGTTGAGGGCGGGTCGTTTTCAAGATGTGGCAATCACCTCAGCGCCGTGCGCACTTGTCATAACACTTTGCAAGAGCTTCACCGATTGATGGCAGCTCCTTTTCAAAATGTGGTTCTTGCCTTAGCGCCGCGCACACTCGTCTGACACAGTTGCAGGAATTTCACGGAGTTCCATGGTCGACGTACCAGAAATTGCGTTTTGGAGCGATGCAGGATTGCCAGGGAGCATCAATTACGTTGACTCGCTGTGTTGAAATCCCAGGAATGGCGCTCTGGCGCGATTCACGATCGCCAAGACACAACAAACTGGTTGAATCGTGGCGTTGGGGTCTCGGGAAGTGTGTTCTGTCACGCTTCAGGGTCTTCAAAAGGTTGTCTCCCAACAGAGCAGATCCTTCAGTGGGAATGAATCACTGTAGGAGGCCTATGAAGAGGGGGCTTGGAGGGAGGGTTTATTCCAACATCGTCAATGAGTCGTGGATTTGCACTGGTCCTCCAGCTCCTCCTCCTCCTCCTCATCCTCCTCGTCTCCGTCATCACCATCATCTTCATCATCGACGTCATCAGCCTCATCAGCATCATCAGATCCTCATCATCATCATCAGCAGCAGCATCATCATCAGCGTCATCATCAGCATCCTCATCATAATCAGCATCATCATCATCCTCATCAACATCATCCGCAACATCAGCATCAGTATCATAATCGTCATCTTCATCGCCGCCGTCGTCCTCGTCATCATCATCCCCATCGTCGTTAGCATTGTCATCAGATTCCTGGGCCTGGTCATCATCATGACCAGCAGCATCAGCAGCTGCATCGTCATCGGCATCATCATCATCAGCAGCAGCAGCAACATCCATCATCAGCATCAGCAGCAACATCATCATCTTATCACCATCACCGTCATGATAATAGTTCGAATCATAAGCAGCATCATCTGCATCGTCAGCATGACCATCACCATCATCAGCATCATCATCATCCGCAGCCGCTGCATCGCCATCATCCCGATCGTGCGCACGCTCCTGGCCAGGGTCATCATCAGCAGCATCATCACCCTCACCATCATCATTAT